GCCGCCGCGGACGTGCAGCTGCTGCCATCTTGTGACAACGGGGCTGCTCGCCACAGGCGCCCTGGCCGCCAGCTTCCTCCTGAGGGCGTTCCTGAACCCGGAGTACGTGGGCCTTTCTGAGTCCAGGACCTGCGCAAGTGAAAGGAGACAAAGTACCACAATTAGTCATTGATTAATACAATTCTGCCCCTTCACCTGGGTGAAGAAAGAGTGAGGGGGGAAAAAACCAGAAATAAACAAATTATTCTGGTCAAGTAAGTACCCCTGAACCAAGGGTCACACAGAAAGCCTGTGGCAGAGAACAAAGCTGAATTTGTGTCACTCATGCACTAGCCTTTGAAAGACCCAAGGCACCTTCAGACACGTAGCGTAGGAACCCAGGTCTGGTCCTTCCTGACAGATGGGCATTTTGGCAAAGCCACGCGTTGGGTTTCAGAGTTTTTCCCAATTGCCTTAGGAAAACACTGCTGGAGCTGCCTGGGTTGGACCTGAGATTGTTGTCTAACTCATTCTTCTTTTGCGCAGACCTTCCATCTTCTCATGTCAGCACAACTAGTTGCCAGCTCACCAGTAGCAGGAGAAATAGCAACCTATTTTCCATTATCAGCAATCCCTCCCATTACAAAAGAAAAAACCTAACCCACAAACATTTTATTTTCTTCCCTTATGCCAGCATAAAAACAAAAAAACCCTAAAGTTTTCTCTGCTCTATGTGCTATAGAAGAGTTTTACAAACAAAGCTGCCTGCGGTCCCACAGCAGCTGAGGAAAGGCAGGACAGAGGATGTAAACTGGATGGCTTCTGCCATATTGACCTCCTTCTACCCAACAGCTGGCCCCAAAATGTGTCTCCAGCTTGGTTGGATAGCATCAGGTGCCTGATGCTGAACAGCTCTGGCAGGGACACCTGAGGGACCCAGGGCATGTGGAGAGCTGTGCTACAGACCCACAGAGACTCCTCTCCAGACAGTGTGCAAACACTGGAGTAGCCCACACAGGTCAGTTAAACAGAGCTGTTAGCATCCCTAGGTGATGGGAACACACTTTTCATTCCTTTTTTTTTTCCAGCCAGAGAGATTTCTATACCCAAAAGATCTGAAGCCCAGCTGAAGCACTCAACAACCACATCTGCAGCAGGGACAAAATGAGCAGCCTGTTCTTTCCAGTCCAAGCTGCAAGTTTCATATTTCAGCTCCTCCTTCGCATTCCACGCCTGCCCAGGCTCCTCTCCAAAGATTTAGAAAATGGAGCCTCTCACAAATACTTATCCGCTGAAATATTCAGTGCCCAAAGCCAGGGTCTTTGTTGTCTTTTTGTCGATGGTGTTGTGTACCGCTATTCTCTGCCTGCTGCAACTCAGATTTTTTAAACCTAAAATCAAAGATTTCTATTCTTTTGAAGTCAAGGATTCACGGGGAAGAATCGTTTCCTTGGAGAAATACAGAGGGAAAGTAAGTTACAACTTCATTATATCTTTGTCTTGAATCTTTACTGAAACATAGGTCTTCATTTGTAGCTTAACAAAAAGTTTTATTATGGGAATTTTTGGCCAAGATTTGTGCTAAATTCCTGTTCTTCAAACAGTAAGCTGGAGAGAAGTTTATTCTATATAGGCCTGCTCCAGGAAGTAAGTATTAGATCTAATAAATCAAGAAAAAAGTTTTTCCACACTCTTTATTATAAATCAATATAGCCTAACAATACAGTTTATGCATTTTAATCTTAGTTAAGAATGGTAGCATGTTGTGCTGAACTCTGGAAGTTGATCTAATAAGTATGATTTTAGTGCCTGTCCTAAAAATCTGCTTTTTTTACATGCTGATATTTAAACAAAGCTGTAAGTTTATCTAGTTATTGGATTTTTAAAACAGGTTGTCTGAAAGTAAATATCTTAAACTGCTATCATCCTTATCTGTTTAATAAAATTCTGATCAGATAGATTAAATATAGCCTACAGGCAGGAACAATTATGGTAGTGGGAGATGTCATTTTAAGACTTAATTGTAATCTCTACGCCATCTCTACTTTTTCTTCTTACTATTCTAACTTTATTTCTCTGAAGGCAACTTTGGTTGTAAACGTGGCCAGTTACTGCCAACACACGGACAAAAATTACATCACACTGCAAGAACTACACAGGGAGTTTGGTCCCTCCCACTTCACTGTGCTGGCTTTTCCCTGCAACCAGTTCGGAGAATCAGAGCCTAATTCAAGCCAGGAAATAGAATCTTTTGCAAAAGGAAACTATGGAGTAACTTTCCCTGTTTTCCACAAAATCAAGATCCTAGGATCAGAAGCAGAGCCCGCCTTTAAATTTCTAATAGGTAACTGTTTTCTTTTCTATATCAAGCTGCCTGTAACCACGGCATTCTCCATAAACTCCAGTCTGAGTTCTTTTGTCATAGAATCATAGAAT